CCACAGGTCTGCGCAGTTTGATAGTGGGCAGTAACAAAGTCAAGGGAAGTTTGACGGACGAAGCTTGTAACACGCTTATGGGAGATGAGAAATACACAGTTTCGGTCGGAAGCCGTAAAGGGGAAAAATCATTTGAGAGACGTACAGTTAGTTGGAATTATACATATGAATTGGTCTAAGAAACTGTATTTGAGGATGTGGACTGGATTCATCTGGCGCAGGGTAGGATCCAGAGGCGAGCTCAGGTAATGGAACTTCGGTATCACACAAGGCAGAAAATATCTTGACCAAGTGATCAACAATCAAACGTTAAGAAAGACTGCTTCTTCTTCTTCTTCTTGTTATAAAACCGGGGGATTCCCCTGTGTATTGTATTGGATTGCGGAAGTGTGTAATTTTCATTTTCTTGCGTTTGAGTATTTAAATTGTACTACGCGAGTTAACCTTCTGACCTTTGCTGTTCGTGTCAGTTTCTTAAAATAAACATGTCATCCTAAATTTATTATTTAACTTCATAAATGGTATGTCTTGCCTTTGTTTTATACTAAATAAAGTGAATCTATATTAAGTGGGTCCGTGGCCACCCCGGTATAACGCCAAACTGTCGTGTGTAGTAACGTATCTCTCTTTTGCATTAAAGAGTAACGAATAGATTCTCCTCTTCCCGGTCCTGCAGAGATGCTGAGCCTGTGTTGTGCCGCTAAGATGAACGAAACCCATAATGTCATGTCCCGAATGTGTGCGGATGCCACTGTCTTCCTGCTTTTTAGTTTAGATCAAACTGTAGTCCCCAAAATGCATTTTCTTAGCACAAGTCGGAACTTTCAGTTTGCTTATCGTTATTCTACGGTGTATGTGCAGTGCTTTACGAAAAGGAAAGGAATACTGATTAGGTATCAGTATTCGTATTAATAATATCAGTGACAGTAGCCAGTACGCTGAGTGGGAGCCCCATGGAGTATAGTCCTTCTTGAGATACTGGTAGACACCTAGGTAGTTGAGAATTACCCGCATTTTTGGGGCCCGATCCTAAACCACATGAATCCACACAAACTTTAATCATGAATGTAAGATTATTGTTCCTTGTTTTCTCGACCTGCCCCTCCGCTCTTCACTTTGATTCAAATTTCCGCCTGCATTTCGTAGTGTTCCGGTGTGACGAGCGTCCGATGGAACAGGTGTATTATTAATTAAGAGATGGGCCTATTGCAAACATTTTAAAATACCGCTTTGAATTCGTGTATGAATAGTCCTAATGTAAAACTTATTCCTATCCATTTACATGAGCACATATTTTAAGTTATTGATGTTTCTTTAGTTCAACAGAATTCAGTCTCCCAACTGGTCTTCTTTCTTGTAGTTTTCACGGAAAATTTGTGTATTGGTTTGTGATGCGTGCTACATGTTCTGTCATATATGAACCACCTTCATTTATTCATTCGGAACAATACGAACCGTGGCATTTGATTGCAATGGGATGAATAGATGAGTCGCTTGATTGGAAGACACATGCACGTCCATTGAGGTTATGTAGACAGACAAAGAAATCTAAACGCTTCTGCCGACAATCGAACCCGGGTCGTTACTTTCCCGAGCCATTTCATATCACATCACACACAGAATGAGTCGTCAGGTCTGAGATATTTTCTATAAATGGTTTGTACAGAGTTTGGAATTGGACATTAACCCCCTCCAAATCATGGTCTGTAGTGTATAAGAGTTTTACGACGAGACTTCGATCCTAATGTTTACTTAAAATATCTTATATTACCTGAGCTAGAATAATGATGTGTTGTGTTTTCTATATGTCGGTACTTTATTTGGTCGGCCATGCTAGTTGAAGCACACACGCTTTGTGCAAGTATGTGTGTTTGTGGAGACTATGGGC